GTGAGACTAGTGAGAGTTAGATGTTTGACCTAGTCTCTTGGTCAATGACGGAGTGTTCGCATCTACTCTCGGGCAGATATTATCGTTAATAATAGGATGCCAGACCTGACCCACCTTAAGGGCATTGCCTAGACTTTTAGTCTATGCTCTAAGTGTCCTTAATGCGACTATTGGTATAACGATCCTCAGACTTGAAGTATTACGTTCTTCGAATGTGTGAACCCGCATGCTTTGATTCATTGTCCTAAGCCGTATGAAATAAGGATGGTACACAGGCTTTGTATTGGGCATGCCGCTGCACATATTCGAAGACGTAGATTACGTACAAAGAATTTGTCACTGCTACTTAAGCAAAATAATGTCTTGTAGGGGCCCACTGATAAGTATGACTGAGGAAATGCATGGCCATGCTGAGATGAGTTTAGACATCTGTTCTCATCAGTCAGACTTGTTAATCAGTAAATAACTTAATGGCTAAAAGTTGGATATTTTATATCCCTTGCACTAAGTTAAGACATTGGGACAAAAGGATCTACGTTATACAAAGTCTTAGTCGTAGAAAGGTTTTGACGGAGCAAACGTCTGAACTTATAATCTGGGGGTAATAATGTGTTGCTAGATACCGCTTATTACTTATAGTATTGATGTAGAGTCAATACTTTGGCCAGTTTTATAAGTGCCTATACGGGTCACACACTTTGGATAATTTAAAGAGTAGGATTATAAGAAGGGATAATATTTAGTTTGTATATTGTAAAATAGTAAAGTAAAATGTTTAATATAATATATATGTATGTATATACATTATACACCGCACATAAACATATATACATAATATACTTATTATATGTACAAGCATATATATGTGTGTGCATGTAACGTGTATATGTATTAATTATTACATTATATATTATATTGTGTACATTTTATTTTGGAGTGTCATTTTAATTATGAAAATAATTATTTTGACAAAAACTATTTTAAAGTATATTTTATATACTTGTTTTAAAATGTTTTAGGTATTTTATTTTATATCATAAAAAAAATTATTGATGTCAAATAAAATACACTTTAAACATTTGAGAGGAGAAGAATTAAATTCTTCCCCCCTTTCCTTTCGTACATAACCTTGTGTGTGTGGGGACTTTGTCTCCCACTACACCTCATAACATTTGTACTTTTGGAACCTAGCTTTTGAAATGGGTTTTATGCTTATTCCTTTTAATGATTATAAAACAATTTCACCTCTCCTTTTTGAGGCAAGCCATTTTTCGGCCTAGTGATTTTCGGCCAAGTGAGTTTCGGCCAAGAGAGAAGTAAAGGGAGAGAAAGAATTATTTTGGGTACCAAAATTATTGTTGGGTAGAAAATTGTTATAATATTTTCTCCAAAATATTATTGATATATTTTCTACTATTTAATATACAAGATTTATATTATCCCTAAAATAATCTTTATATTAAATATACTATTATAATCTTTACTAGTATAAAGATTATAGTAGACTCCGGAGATTGTTCGTGCGTCAAAGTTGGAGGCCGGACGCTTGAACGGCTACGTTTGCTCCTTCAACATCTTTTGCTCGACTTCTCGTTCATACCGCTTTACCGGAGAAGGTATAAGTTTCTATCTCTAGCTATAGTTTTAGTATGTGTTATTGGGCTAGTAATCACTATTGGGAGATTAAATTTTTGTATTTCCGTTGCCCTCCCTACCGTGGTTACCTTTCAATGACACACCATTATCTTAACTTGGAGCTTTTATCTTCTTTTACACATTAATAATCACTACTAATGTATAAAATTAGACTCCTAACACAGCATCCTAAAGTAGCCAACTTTAGAGATATTTCATTAGGAAATTTGGATAAAATAGCATCACACTATTTTAAAGGAATTACTCAAAAGAGTAAACAAGGTTTTTAATTCAATAATCTGGTTCTGTTACAATGGCCTCATGGCTGAAGTATTTATACAACAACAAATAAGGAAAAATACAAGAACAATGAAGGAAGAATACAACAAGGAAGTTTCCTACTTCTTTCCTACAAATCAATGCTTAATGCCCATCCATGTGAGTTGATTTTCCATGATGCTTCTCCTGATTTTGAGCTGATCTTCTTTGGGTTTATTTGGGTAGAAATTTCATGCCTTTATGGAAGAAAACAAATGGAAATCAAGCTTTTGGCATTTGTGATTAAAATGCCAAAACAGCACTATTCATTCAATGACTTTGTGATTTTTTGACCCTTTGTGTCAATTGTCAAAAGTGATTATCTTTTTGTTTTGTGACAAAGACTTTATTCTTTGTTGAAAATCAGGGAGTAATTTCAGCTTTATACCCAAGCTTAGAAAAGGCAAACAGGAATTGAATAACTTTGAGTTTCAAGGTTCAGGGATGTAGAATAATCAATTAATATCTCTAGATAATCGATTCACAGGATTTGGTTTCAATCTGGAAATGTTCAGAGAAACCAAATAGTCGATTGACATTCAAAGACAATCAATTATCAAGGGCTTTCTCAAAGCTGGGTACTTTCAGAGAGTAGATATAATCGATTATTACTTGTAAGATAATCGATTATGTGAGGTTGCTGGTTTTGTGAAGAAGAATCAGAGAGCTATAATAGTCGATTATCAATTATGTATAATCGATTATTCAAGGCTTCAGAATAAAGTGGGAAAGGCATAATTTGGGTAAAAAGGAAAAGAAACAAAGGTTTTAAAAGATAATAAGAAACTAAGGTTTGACTTGTCTTCCTTTTTTGACCTGGAGTTAAAAATTGATGGGAAAGACTTTATTTTTAATTAAAGAAAAGAAAGAAGACTTTTGGATATGTTGGGAGAGTTGGGATTTTTGTGGAGCCATCTAGGGGTACATCAATGATGTTCTTCTTACCCACCAAGAATGAGAAGGTGTTACTGAAGCCATCATATAGCACTCTCTGATCAAACAACCATGGTCTTCATAGAAGAATGTGGCAAGCATTCGTAGATGCGATCATGAGCTTTTCTTCTTTTTTTCATTCTTCCACAATTCTCAATGGTTTATTAACAACCATGATCTTTTCTTGTTCCAAGAATCATGGTCTCTCATCTTCTTGAACTTGTTTTTGCCTCAAAACTTCTTGTTCCATAACATCTTCAATCAAGGTCACTTTTCTCTTATTTGGACACATGATAGCATAATGTCCAACCTTTTGACAATGGTAACAACCAGGGTTTGTAGACTTGATTGTAGGCAGCTTAGGGAATGGAGTTGGAGGTACGGTTCTGGTTGGGTTTTGGGTGGGAATAGGTTTAGGGTTCATTTGGGCAGTTGGTATTGGTATTGTTGGTGTGGTTTGTTGAGGGGTGAAGGTTGTAGTAGTAAGAGATGGTTTGAGGGTTTCTAACAAAATATGAGGGTGGTTTGATGAAAGAGTTTGAATGGTTGAGAGAGTAGTGGTTTTGGAAGTGTCTTGGTCATTGGAAGTGGGGGAGGGTCTGGGGATGCTTTGGGCAGTTTGTGGGAAGGGTATAGAGATGGGTTTTGGGGAGTTTTGGGGCAGGGGTGTTGAGAAGGTGTTGGGGTGAATGAGGGCAGTGGCTAAGGAAGGTAAAGGGCTGGTGTGAGTTGGGTTCTTAGGTATATGAGTAGGAGTTTGTTGAGAGACGTTTTGGACACTATGATTGTAAGTTGAAGAGGGGAATTTAGAGGGAGTGTGGGTTGTGGACATGGCAGTGGCTTTTTGAATGTTTTGGAAAGTACAAGGTGTTGGTTTTATAAGGGAATTGGACTGTGGGAATGGAGTTAGCTCGTGCAGTGTTTTGGGCAGTAAGTTTTGGTGTTAAAGACATGGTTTTAGAGGGGTTTTGGGGCAGGGGTATTGAATGGGTTTGAGGATTAGCTTGGGCAGTATATAAGGAAGAAAATGAGGTGGTTTTTGATGGCATTTGAAGTTTAGGTGTAGGGGAAGGAATGGAAATGGTTGTGGTAGCTTGTAAAGGTTTGGTGTTGGGGTTTTTGGGAGGGTTAGATGTACTAGTTCTTGTGGAGAAAATGGCATGGTTCACTTCAAAAAATATGGCTTTTTGTGGCTAACTTTTAGTAGCAAAGTTAATATTTGCCACAATATATAAATGGTGTATAAATTTTGTGGCAATTCAAAATTTGCCACAAAATAGGTTATTTTTTGTAGCAATTTTTTAAATTTGCCACTATATCTAAATTAGTGTGGAGGGAAAATATTGAAGGGAATATTTACGGAAGTTAATTTGCCAATCCGGCCCAACCCAAATAGCCAGTAGTCTCTCGCTCAATTCCTCCATAATTTCGATTTGCTGCAAACGACTCCCAAAGCGATCTTCAAAAGCGAGACGCGACATCCAGAAACGAGAAACCCACTTTGATCGGTGATTTGTTTCCCTCTACAAATGAAACTATTTCTCCTATCTCCCTAAAGCTCTCTTTCCTTCTTCGCACGTTCATGGAGTGAGTTTAATAACCGACACAACTCGCCTCTCCGATCTCCAGGTGATCATTTTTCCTTTTTTTCTGAGAAAAAGTGCATCAATTTCTATCGATTTGGCTGTGAGTTTCTGATATAGTTCGTGAGTTCACTATATAATCATGCATGACATATGTTCGATAAAATTCCTCAAACAGCATAAAATTCCTTTTTTAGTACTATTGAGTGCAGGTGTTACAAGTCTGATGGTGTTAGAAGTTGGATTGAATTCTCATTTTCTCAACAATAGATATAAATTTTACTTTTAAATATAATTAAAAGTTAGTTTGATTATATATTCAATCCATATGTTTCATGTTTTTTATGTTGTTATGTTGAATCAAGTATTTTTAGATTCTTACGTGATTGGACAATGGGGAAAAAATGTCTCATAGCCCTCTAAAAATTCTGCTCTGGTAACCTACAATCAAATAATCTTTTGCTAGATAGCATGTCATTAGCTTATAAAAATTATGAAATAGAATATGGGTGGGGTGTTTAGCTACTTACCATCTCTGGCTATATAAGTTTTTTTGTTTTGTTTTTTTTGGTTTATTTTATTTTTTTCTGATGTCAATTATAAAGGTTTATTATTAAAAAGAAGGAAATGAAAGTAGAGTAAATATTCCTCGTCCCTACCTTTCACATTAGCACAGGTAAATGCCCATAAGATTTTCAAGATGAGGCCACAAGTAAATGCCCATAAGGCTTGTAAACTAGCTTTAAAAGGACAGGAAAGTGTGATTATAACTACAAATGATTGCACTAAGATTCACTCTTGAAGAACACCTTCCTTCTTGACTATATTTTGCATACTAATTCGTGGTCGTACTCTTTAAGAAAATTACTAATGATCCAGGCTAAAGAACACTCTTTTAACTTGGGATGCTCACAAAACAAAAAGAACCCAAAAACACGAGCAAACTTGAGAACCAATATATCAAGTTAACTGACCTTCTTTGAGAAACTCATTCTGCTTCCGCGTCTTCAGTGTTACTTCCTTCAGTCTGTATTTCAGGAAGAGTTTCTAGATCCATTCTAATATCTTTCTCTTCCAAGGAAATGGATGTATCAGATTGATCAATCAAATCTTGTCCAATTTCATCTAGATTTTCAATTCTAGAAATCTTGACTTCAACATATGTGGCATTATCGGAGGCAGGTGTGATAGTTGTGACACTCGAGGAATTTACTGAAATTGAGTAAATATTCTCAGTTTCTATGGAAGTTGTATTTGAATCAGATAGAGTTTTCTCAACAATCTGCACAGTGGCGTTCACCTGCTGCATAAAAGTGACTGGCAAGGAGTCTTCCCCATCAGCAGTGATATTACCCTCAATGGTAAAATTTATATTTGATTCTGTCAAATTTGGAAAGGATACTCTGGCTTCAAGATGGCTGTCCACTAGACTCGTTTGGTTCAAGAATGAGGTATTTTTAGGATAGGATGAGACATGCTCCAGGATACTTTCATCACGGCCTGTTGTAATTAAGGAATGATTTCTCTCATGATTATCCGAGGCTAACTGTGTGATGTTCTGATTAGATCTTATTACCTCGTGATCTAAATCATCTAAGGCGATGTTTCCATTTTCAGCAAGTATAGTTTGTGTATCATGGGTGACGGCACTTGAAGCATCATCTCTGCGACACATTTTTTTTGGTTCAGACCTGGCTAAATATTTTTAGCTTATAAAAATTATGAACTTGAATTTGGTTTAGTTTTACTATCTATCATGGAATTTGGGGTGGGCATTCTTATAGTGAGCTTTATAACTAACTTTGGAGCCTCAAAACTTTGATTTTGGATATCACCAAACTTCTCAATGAATAATTATTTACTTCCATGATGTGGTTATGAATGTTTTGTAATCTGGAATTTTTCTCAACCTATTAATGGCAAATGCTGGTTTGCTGTTTGATGGGAGTTCATCATCCATCTTAAAGGTTTTCAAATTTTCAAAACATAGTCTTGATTGATTTTCGTGGTTGGTTAATTGGTTGTTATTAATTATTTATGTTGTTGTCAAAGAGTTATTCTTTTGTCAAGGGTCCACTACCTTGGCAACCTACAGATTCCAATGTCATTCAAGGTAGAGAAATCAGAACACATGAGCCAAGTAATCTGGCTCAGCCGCGTTCCTCGAAGAGATGTAGATCAGAAGAGGTTCATAATTTGTCTGAAAAGGTTTAATTTTTCTTAAGTTTATATTTAATTTTTGGATTTTTAAATATGTGATATCTAAATTACAAGTAATTAGCCCCTTTGCACAGAGAAGGAGTGGGACTAATGAGAAACAGAAAGCATTACGGACCTTGATTTCAAATTCTAACAAAGTATATATTTTCAGGCTCAATTCTTTTTTTAATTAAATTTCCCCATCTCCAAATGTTCTTACTTATCTTCTTCTAATTCTTATTTTGAATTGGTCAGTTTTGTATGATATTGAGACAAGATAACAATGCTTGACGAAGCTATTGAATATTTGAAGCATCTTCAATTATAGGTGCAGGTATTATTAGTACTGTTAGTTTGGTTGTATCATTCATTATTCATTACCACCGTTATTATAGAAAGTGTTTGCTTATTATAATAGCTAAAAAAGTTCACGGGCTTTCTGGTACTAGTTGGACTTTTGATATTTGCTTGTTATTGCTGGTC